TCCCTACCCAGAAGCTTGTTCAGTGCAGAGATACCAGTCTGAATAATTTGCTGATCAAGCCGTTGTATGCACCGCTTTCCATGACGTGATAGGTAAGCACCAATGCCAACCGTTCTACCAGTCACATAGGTCAAGGTAAAGGTTTCCCTGTATGCCTTTGAATACGCACTGGCAATGGCTCCACTACCACTTAAGTTTTCAACTCCCAAGCCATCCTCCTTTCCTACAATAGTATCTATTACCCATCGGGATTCTCCACTTGAAAGCTTTAGTTCGTGTGCTATCACAGATGATCCAATGCGTGCATAGTCCTCAGGAGTTAAGTAAACATATTGGAAACCACGTTCTGGGTTTGATTCATCAGACCAGCCAACTTTAAAGCAAGATTTCACTTCCTCGGCTACACCAATACGGGCTCCAGAATTTGCAGCCAGATAAATAAGAGGTAGTTTTTGAATGCAAGCAACATCAGTTACGGCCTGGAAAAACGCATCCTCTCTGGGGCCAAAAGAACCATTTTTGAAAGTTACATCATTTGATACAATAAGAATGGTTCGTCCAGAAGGGAACTCGGGTGTGGACATTTCCATGCGCCAGGCTACCATGCCAACATCATTAAGTCCAGGCTGTCTCTCAACAGAAACAAGAGGAGTGCCCCATGTACCTTTCTGGTCAGCAAAAACCAATTCTGCGACTCTGAGGTTGGCTTTATCCTTAGTGTTGTTGATCCCAGAATACTGGGACCATGATTTGTCCAAAGCTGCCTCAAATGCCTGCAAAGAAAGCTACCTCAAAATAAATGCACATAAATTGATCAATAATATCTGAATTGCATATTATAAAGATTACAGCCATTTACCAGCGGGAAATCGTAGCAGTAAGTGGTGCTGCTTTTCCGGGCCAAAATACGTTTCTGATCAAGAACTCCCAAAGGCTTATACTTTGCATTCACAGGCAAACCATGCAAAGAGCCCTGCCCAGAGGTTGAATGATAGACTACTTGTTGTTTGCTGGTATCCTCAACTTCTCGATAAATCTGAAAGGTTAATATAGAAATAAAGCTACTTCAACACTTAATCACAGATTTTAAGCAACTAGTTTACTGATAAGAAAGTTTCTACTTGGTCAATATTGTGGGACAGCACTAATAGATTAAATACTAACTTACAACATAGTGCTGCAATGAATAACTAACAGACCCCATGACATATTCATCATTGAAATAAATTTTGAGAAAAAAATTTATTTATTAGTTCCAGTCACATAGAGCAGCAGATCAGACAAAAAAATGACATTAATAATGCAAAGCCCAATCTTTCGTACGTGAACGATGCAAGTGTGACCAGTCACATTAGAAACCACAATCCTCCAAGCTCCATTAGATTCTCCTTCAGATGATATCCAAAGCTTCACTTCCCACTCACAAACACCAAAACGATGCATTTTGACACCAACTGATGCATTAACTTCCCGTGCCAGCTCGCTCAAGAGTTTCTCAACTGCAGCTTCTTCACACCCATCAGGTATATCTGCTCTCCTGCAAATGATGTTGTTTAACTTAAGGCTGTAAGTTGGTATGCCGACCAGCAGAACAAAATATCAAATATTCTTACTTGTGGTACGGCAGAAGATCATCTATTTGTTGCTCCCTCAAGATATAGAGGTACATTTGAGCATGTTCAGATTTGATAGTAGAATTATGGACATTAAGTTCAAGTTCCTCCATTGCAGACGTTAAGGACCTCAAAATGCTCCTTGAAGTAAAAGACAGAGTCCACAGAGATTGAGTTGCTCCCTGGTCCAGTCCTTGATATGTTGTCAGACCTTCATTTGATAGGGGCTGCCTAACAAGAGTTCTGAGAAACATCCTCTGAATGGAAAGAGGTTTGTCTAGAACGGTGTACAGGTGCCACTGTCGGTCCCGAGAAGGAGTGTACCGTATATCATTATAACCTTTAAGTTTATCCTATTCAAAGTAAATTAATGGATATTTAACCAGACCAGATCAAAATAAGATAAACTTTTATATTACAACCAAAAAGACTGAATAATCAACAAACCAGCTCAAGGTATGTGGACAAAGGAGGTTCCAGGTGACGCAGTAGAGGCTCCTCCTCGTAGTAGAGTTTTTCAGCTGACCAATGAAAGGAATGCCTCATAGGGCCTCGCCCTTCATCTCTCTGTATGATACAGCTGATAACCCCCACACCTGTATTTCTCAGACTGGAGCTTACTTCTTTCTCTTTCAATATTTTGGCTAACTTGTTGACTCGCTCTTGAGCCTGATCCTCATCACCACTGAAAACAGACATAACATAATAATAAAAGTCAGAACAGAAACCACTGAGTCACTTTGTTAACCTATTACCAAGCATAAGAAAACAATACAATTAAATTAACTTATCAAATAATGCATGCATTCGACAGAAACCTGGCCAATGCCAGAGAAAGGGATATGGAAACTAATCTCGGCTACAGTTGCCCTTGGGGTAGAGATGGAATAACATAATTAGATATTCTAATACTTCTGAAGCAAGGGAGTCAAATACTGAAAGTTTTCTCAAAACGTGATAAAGCATGGGTCAAGTAAACACTCAAAATATTTTAGGTTAGATTAAAGTATGAAATAACTCAATGTCCAAGGAATCTGTGTAAGATCGGGATGGGAAATTTTACACTGTGGCCTCCCAATTGAGACAAACATACAATAAAAACTTTTTGCAATCTAGCATAGAAAAACTTCTAGGCATGCATAATACCTGTCCTGAAGTAAACTCATTTGATTGTTGATGCCTGCCAACGCAATGTGCATCATGTTACCATAACTAGCTGGCTGAACAGATCCATTGGTAATTACACTTTGCAAATTATGTGTTGTTTCCCTCAACGCAACAGTTAACACAGTTGGCAAGAATTGGAGAGATTTGATGACAACCATCGATCCCCACTTTCTCTCACTGTGATTTACAACTGATGGCTCATCCAAGATTCGATCCTCAGACCCAATCTTACTATCAACATGCCCTTCCAAGAACTCCCATGATGCTATAAGTCCAAACCTGTGCCATTGCATCCTGACATTCCCCTTTACAAGGTAGGGCTGATGACAGATGCTAAATATCAGTCAAGAAATTTCCAAGAGCTTGATTAGCATATAACCATATTTCTTTGAACAATATTACCTGATATAATCTGCGAACATAAGTCTCGACAACCCGTCGCTGAAGTGTGTGATCACTGTGATCAAAAAGACCAACAAGTGCATCTTCAACTGCTAAAGGAGCACTGACGAGGGCTTCCATTCGTTCGTTTATGGCACTTTTTCTTTTGGGAGTATCCATGTTTTCACCATCTTCAGTGAACATTTCTAACTCCGAAAGACTCCTGGCAATACTGGAACGAAGCTCACTGAGTTTTGTCTGTTCTAGGAGTTGACTTGCCTTTAATGCTAGCTGCAAAATACAAAGAGACTCAGACTTGGTTGTACCATTAGATATGAAAGAACATAACTAGAAGTCAATAATTAAAGAATAAAAGAAGTTAGGAGGACAAAAAAACCAAACCTTTGATTGAAACTTCATATTCAAAATAAGAATAGGTGGTAACCAAACATCAAACGGAGAACACCTGGAAAGATATATGTGCAAGACAATAGAAACTAAGTGGAATTTACCAACCTCAGAGTAGTTTGTGTGGTTGAGTGCAGAAAAACGGATTAGTTGATCTCGGTATGCAGCAGGATTAGGATACACCAGCTGCTCCATGAGACATAGTATCAACTTATTTTTACTCCTAACACCCTGGAAAATTTCATGGCACAAAAAAAAAAGCCTTAGCAGCAAACATAGCACAAAAAAAAAAAAGCCTTAGCAGCAAACATAATAACAGCAAACCAGGATTCAGGTGACTAATTTCGTTATACCTGATGAGAAAGCACAATGTCAACAACCTTGGAGAGATCTTTCTTGTAATGAAGTCTTAAGCGTTCAATTACGTCTGCCTGAAAAAGAAAGAAACATTGTGACTGCATATTACACATTAGTGAAATTTGCACAGGATTTTATTCACTGGGGCCTTCATTGTGTTTTTCTTTATAATTCTGCTTCCAGGACAATATGACAATTTAAAAGGCCGAAATACAGAAACTAACTGGCATGTGTAGTTAGCTGTACATTTTTGAAGCCATAAAGTTGTGTTATCACAAAGTCAATAGAAGAAATTAGACACATAAATGACCGGCCATTTTAATTGGTCTTAATGTGCAAGAAGGTGCACAAGAAAAAGACGACAATCACCAGATAACAAGAACTCGTGATTAGTATTTGCAGTGGCAATCACCTGGATATTGTCACTAAATAATTCTTCAACTGATAAATATTCTTCAAAAAGTCCCCGAACAATTATGCGGGCATGGCTCTCTCTGCCACCCTCGTATGACTTGACAAGACTCATTAGAGGCTCAGCTAATCGTTCTTGGGCTCCTTTTTCCTTTTCAGGGTAGGAATTTAGATGGGCCTGAAGCAGTGAAGGAAGCATAAAGCCGTCACAAGATGTGATTCCCTTTCAACAAAGAAAAAAAGGAACCATAAAGATTGATGACCCAAGACAAACAACAAACCTCAAGAACACCCCGCAAAATTTTTGCAGGGAAGTCAACAGTTGGCATATTGGAGATTCCTTCGTACTCCTTATATTTTGCTTCCAACTGAAGGTTTATATAAACCAAAAGTAAGTGTGATTTAAGGTAACAATAAACTACATATGTCTGAAGAAATAAGACTGTAATATCTTTGCTGGAATAACCTCATATCTAAGGTCCTTGGATAGTCGGTTTGCCAGGACAGCAAAGCATTCTTGCCACTGAAGGAAAGGGAGCTCAGGATTGTCCAGGCAACTAAGCAAGTTTGGAACTACCTGAAATGGATATCAATTTAATGAAAGAGTTGAGTTAAATTGCATTCAAAGTATTCATTGTGTACATGGCCAAGTATTACTAATTAAAGATATAGGTTCTTCAGAAGTCAGTAAACTTTTTCGAGATATATAACCGACAAAAAGATACCTACTTCATCAATGTTATGCTCGTAACCAGCCAGAATCATCCGAGCTGCATTCAAACTTGCAGCACACCGTTGATGAACTTTTCCAGATATGGCAGTTGGAGGTCCCAAAAGGGGAAAGCTACCGTGAAAAGGTTCTGCTTTTCTTACAGCTGATGGATCATCTAAGTCAAGTCTTGCTATAAGCTCACCAGCCTGCAGAATCATTCATTTCTTAATTGTTACAAAGGATAGAAACAATGATACCTCTTATAATAATCACGTGTACCTGCATCGCTTGACCTTCAGACATCAGAAAATGGATATTTCCGGAAGAAGGTGAGAGAAGGGGCATACACATTTTCATGACCTCAACCTCCGCATAAGGTGTGTCAGCATCAACATGGCAGCCATCTACTACCAGATACCTTAGAAGCTTGCATGGTGTTTCTGCCACTAACTTAGATGGATCGTGATCATTCTGAATACAAAGAGAACTGACTAAGAGCATGTTTGAGCATCATTTTTATAGAATAATGCATTTTGGAATAGTAGATTGATGGAGAATGTATGGTTAAAAAATGATGAAAAGTTTTGGATTTGCGTGTAATATTATTTTATTGAAGAATGTGTTGTTGAAAAGAAGAGAGAGAAAAATGTATTTTGAAAATAATGGGGATCAAACAAAGTATAAGTCTCTACTGACAAGACTTAATTTAAATAGGAAAAAAAAAAAATCTTTGGCACCTGAAGTAAGCAAGTCCTTCCATCAATAAGAAGGCGCGTTCCAGCTGCTTCCTCCTCTGCATATATAACATGACTATTTCCATCCAGCTGCAGCAGTAAATTAACCAAGCCAAGTAATAGATGAATAGCCATCCATTTACCATGCATCAATGAAGTAGCAGATAAAAAAATAATCTTTAAACAGTTTCTAATAAGAGAGAAATAAAGGACTAGGCAGAGTAACAGCTTGCCTGCATCAATAGACCTCCATCGCGTAGAGTATGTATCTCTGCTTCAATCTTTGAGTCATTCGTCGTTAGACTGTAGCTTCCAGGACCTCCTCTTACCAAATTAATCTAAATAAGCCCAAAATATTAGAACATTGTTAAAACCTAACTGTCATTGTCCCAATATTCTTCTATTAAATGGTTTAAGATGTCTACACTTACTGTATATTTACTTCCTTCAATATTTAGTGAAACTTGAGAATTGACAAGTGAAATATGCTGCAAGTAGGGTATCCATTAATTACAGTTATAGAAAGGAAGAACTGAAACCATTTCCTGGTCTAATCTTGTGATACTAAATACCTTGGGAGGAATCTGCCCTTTTTCAAGATAACCGATGTATTCTGAAACCATGGCCGCACTACTAGCAGAAGCTTTCTAAATTCATAAATATTGGAAAACACAATTATGGTAGCATAAATTATAGAGAAGCCTTTATACAATATAAGCTGTCAGACACCTTAGACTAGAAAACTAGCATACTTACATAAAGTGCTCCTCCAACAACGGAAAGATACCAAGGGGGCCTTTCTGCTCTGACTCTCATTGCAATTCTGCTGTCTAGCCATCCTGTATGTATTTTATTTTCCTTGTAATCTGAAGCCTGCAAAAACATGTTTTATATAAGTCAACTTCTAATCATGTGAACCATATTATAATCAATGGGGTGAAATAGGATTTTGATATCAGAAAATCTCACATGTAAAAGATCAATTGTGTAATCAACATTTGTTCGAATTTCTCCTCTTATTTGAATTTCTTTCAGCCCAAGAACCATATTTGCAATGGCCAAAGCTCTAGACTCTCCAAAAGCAAATACATGTCCTGAGTTAAGATTCAAAAAATTATGGATTGTTAGAAATGAGTTTGCACATGGACTGTCCATTATTCAAATAAAAATATGTTTGGAGGGCTTCAAAAAGTTTCCATGCCACATAAGCTGTATAAGCATCAAACTAACAACCTACTCAACTTTGATATACTGACCTCAGACGAACATAAGAACATGCATCTATAAAGCAGAAAAAATAAGCAAAAATGTAAAAGAGATGAGACAACCGGAGCCAGAAGCAATGAAGCACGGATATTGACAAGGGACACATACACATAATTTTTCAAAAGTGTAGGACCCGGACAATTGGACACATGTATCAAAATACTATATAATTATAATTTTGTATCATTATAATACTTCTTTTACTTTTCTTAAAATTAATACTCAATCTTTGACTTTAAATTTTAGAAGTGAAATCATTTGATTTGAGTAGCAAATATTTGTTGTTTTAGCATAACTTTGTGTTGTACTTTATACTACTAGTGCCGATGAAATGAAAAAGTTCTTGGGTCAAAAATGCATAAAATAGATATATATCGGATTTGATGTGAAGTTCATATATAAATCTGTCACCAAATTTCGCCTTACCAAATTGGGAATCTGAAAACTCATGAATACCACCTCCAGACTGCAATAGTGAAGGTGTTAGTCAGATCCAACTTCGAATTTATAGGTTTCTCAACAAATTAATTTATAACAAGTACCTTGACAGAAAAGTAAGCCCAAACATTTGGCTTGCTTTTAAAACTCAGTTCCTGTACAAAGCTATTTGAATTAATAACTGATCATCATGAGAATGCAATCTATAAAACCCAACTTGGACTGCTCAAACTGAAAAATCCTGACCTGTACTTTCCCACTTGTAGGCTTGAAACCATCATCAGGATCTTCACTTGTCACACGAACAGCTACACAGTGACCTTTTGGCCTTGTTGACTCAGCATTGTCAAAGTCAAATGGAATAGCAACAAAAGATGTTTTTCTCCAAGCATCGTATCCTCCACCATGTTCCATTCCATAAAATCTCCTTATCTCTAATTTAGCATGCAAAAGAAATACGATTAACAAAGATAGATAACAAAAAATAGTTCCACTATTATGAACTTTGAACCAGACCTGGAATTTGCCAGAGAGGGATACCCATCCCAACGGCAACTTGGGCTGCAGGCAAATTTATTTCAGCTATCCACTCAGTTACAGGGTGCTCCACCTAAATTAAACAAGAATATAAGAATTCTCTTTAAAAGAGTCCAAGTAACAAAGTAATGACAATTCTTATTCTATCTTCCTAAAGTCCTAAACACATGGTTTTAGTAATCTTAGCCAAGTAACCTTCACATCTGTAACTCATTATGTACTCATAAGATTCTTTGTATTCATAGAAAGAACAATTTGAATCTAGGATGGTTTGCGATGGTTATCGCACATTGGCCTTGATGTTCAATTCAAAAGGAAAATCTTACAAACCTGTAACCGCGGGTTTAGCTCCAAGAAGTAATATTCCCCAGTTTCCATACTGTATAGATACTCAACAGTTGCAGCTCCAACATAATTCACGCATTTGGCCAATCTTCTAGCAGCCTGCTCAAGCTTCTTTACTGTGTCGAGGGGAGCTACTGTTATAGGGCCCTCTTCAATAATCTAAATAATTTGAATCTCAAGTGAGGAAATTAAGTAATGAGGTTTTACAAAAAAATATCAGATTTTGCATCAAAGAAAAATATTCCTATCCTTAAAGTGACAATTGAAACAGTAGTAGTAAAAGAGAAAGGCAGTTTATTACTTCTTCCCTCTGTAATTTAGGACAACCCTAAGTCACAAATTGCTGGCGAATGCAGGTTCATAATAGAAGCGAATTAAACAAACCTTTTGGTGTCGCCTCTGAACACTGCAATCACGGCTATGCAAAGCTACAACGTTGCCATATTGATCACAAAGCAACTGAACTTCTAAATGTCGGCTCTGAGAAACCAAAACATATCTATATTAGAATAAAATATCATCCCTGCACTCGTTAGAGCATCTAGATCAGAAGAGAAGTGAATAATCTAACCTGGGAAGCGACCTTCATTATAAATATGGGGGACCCAGGAACTTCACCCTGAACTTGCTTGAACAAAGCCTTGACTTCATCATCATTATGGACCTGAAAATCCCATATTGTAAACAATGTTATCCTCACAGGTACAAAATGAGACATGGATAACCACATTTTTTAACTTGGAAAAGCAATTTTACAATTAGAAACAATTGACAAGACATACACGGATTGCATTAGACACCCAAAAAAATTGCATTAGAGATATGGCAAGAATTTAACCTTTCTTATGCCTTTGCCGCCGCCGCCCCAAGATGCCTTAATCATTGCAGGATAACCCACAACTTGACAACTAGCAATGGCCTCTTCAGTTGTATGAACACATGCTTCACGATATATGTCATCTGGGATAGTGACCAAACAGCTCTCAGAAGGAATTTTCACCTAAAATTGGCATTTTGATTAGATGCAAGACAACGTTAGCAAATTAACAAGTTACAGCTTTATGAGCAGAAACACTTTACATGAGAACCACTCCATGGAAGAGTGGGCACTTCTGCAGCTTGTGCAATCAATGAGGATCCAATTTTATCTCCCAGTGCTGCCATTGATGCAGCTGGTGGCCCCAGAAATACAATTCCTTTTGCACTCAATGCATCTGGTAGCTCTGGATTCTCTGATGCGTGACCCCAACCAGGCCACACTGCATCAACATGCGTTATCTCTGCCATCTGAACAACCGAAAATCACAAAATCACATAATTTTTCTTTTCGGTTTTATGGCAAATATCATCAACATTATGTTCCTATTCATATACAAATATATATAGAATTAGTATGCCTATTTTGATAAAAATTTATAATCAACACCTAACATCCCTATTGGGAAAAAAATAAAGGAAAAACAGAGTATAAAAATAGAGAGGAAAGTATAGGGAGGATTGTGCCAGAACAGTATTTTACTTGTAATTTCCGAACCTAGGCCAATTTACCTTTAACAGATACTTTTTGCCACTTTACTCAACTATTTTTATCTGCATATAATTCAGGTCTTAAACATGATCCGGAATGGTATCTCTTCTAGATGCTCAACATCATTTGACTATATTGCTTACCTTTGATGACACAAATAAATACAAAAATTAGAAAAATAAATATATATGAACGTAACTATATCAACAAACCTCAACAATGAGCTGCACATTAGCATAGTTATTATTATTAGTACCACCAGGAACTTCTACAAATTGATCTGCTATCCTAATATGCTCTGCATTTATTCTCATGTCCTCCGGAGTAGCCATAGCCACCAACAAAATTGCCTTCTCTGTACCAAATGTTTCATAGGCCCACGTTCTAATGCTACGTATAAACTTGACAGCTGCCATTCCATTGTTTGCAATTAAGATACTATGAATTGGATTCTTGCCTCCTAGAGCATGACAGAACTCATCCACCTCAGATACCACGCTAGGAGACCTCAATGGAATAGATCCATTTATGGACCCCTTATTATGCTTGACGCCAGTCATCGGCCTCCTTTGAGCTTCTGACATGTTGGAGTGCCTGCAAATGATCAATAAAACGAACCCAATGTTTAGTGTAGATTCTGAAGAAATCTCACTATCTAACAACTACTTAATTAAAGAATCTAGTAATAAATTTATCCCCTTCAAAAACTCATGTCATTTAAAATAGAGATTCGCTCAGCTAAAATATCATCACGAATTAAACCTCTTTAGTTGGAAACTAAACTTTTGCTAAGCGTTAGAGATGCAAATGATTCGCTCCACTTCTAAAAGGTCAATCATCGCAAAGAGAACAACTTTATCGATTGACTCGCCATTCATTAAAAAACTAACACAAGATACTCAGAAAAGAAACTTTAATTATAACTATATCTATACAAGTAACCAGGAAAGTATCACTCAAACAGCTATATACTAAAAATCACAAACACGCACGAAAACTAACAAATTCAAGGAAAACACGAGAATTTCTCGCTCAAACAGACAATAATGGAAAAACAAACGATCGGATGAAAAGAAAATACCTCCCCCAGACAAGGGCAATAATTTCTTCTTAAATCTGGCTGGCTATTCTTGAGAAGTATTTGATTTGCAGAATTGGACGCAAATAATCAACAGAATTTGAAATTCAACGTGAATGTACAAGTCTGTAAATGCAAAAATTTGCTTTGTTTGTTTACTATTTAGCAGAAATGTATCTGAGTGTATGAATTGAAGTTTAGAGTTTTGGTAATGGTTTGGTTCAGATTAGTTGGGGGTTCTTAACTGGCCTTTAATGAAAGACAGCCAGCACGTGGTACCATAACAATTCCTCCCATCTACCTTATTATTTGTCAATCAATTAATTCCAAGATAAGATAAAGGTTCGTTTGGACTTTAGTAAAGTGATTATGAGATTAAGTAACTGGTTTTGAACATTTTAATAATTTTTCGATTTAAAAGAGCTTTTAGATGAATTTGATTTAAAAATTGAACAAGAAAATGTGCTTCAAGATTTTTATATACGGAGATGTTAGACAATCTTAATCAGCATCTTTTGTTTAAAATGATTTTCATATTCTCCAGCCAAAAGTTACCGTTTTTATTATTGTTGTCTAAGTAATTGAGAAACTTTTGCGTGTTTTGACCAACCTATTTTTATACCGATCGTAACAATTTTATACTAATTCATGTTCGTGAAAAATTTGAGTACGATCATGTCGAATTGAGTAGGGCATTATGCTTAAAAAGATATGTTTTAAATATAAGTCTCATCTTGCTGACAAATAATTCACATATATTTGACAAGACATTATGGGTTAGCAATTCACAAATTGATGTGTGTAGGTGATTGACCAGTGGGGGGTGGGTGGGGCGTGGTGAGTGGGTGGTATTAATGTGCATGGAAGTTCAAATATGGTTGGAAGTTAGGTGCATCCATGCATTCCTCACCTCTTGCATAGTTGCATCATTTTCATTTTTTTTTTTTTTAATATTATGACAAGCCATTTTTATTTTCCATTAATTCTATTCTTCCCCCATATTGTTTTTGTTCTTATCTTTAAATTTAATGAACCATTTTGAAAAGTACTTCGTGTCAATATAATTTTTAGTCTCTGTTTGGTACACATTAAAATTTTCATTCTCATTCTTCTACTCATTTTCAACCACACATTTTTCAATAAAATAATAATTTCCATCACATCAATAAATTTTCCTTCATTTTCAATCACATATTCTCCATCAATCTATTGTTGGGGAAAATTGGAGAATCAAAGTAGATCAATCAAAATCGAAGGCCCGTGTTTACACGGTTTCCTTAAATCGAATTCGCCGCCTCATCGGAGTGCAATAGGTTATGATCGGTGGTCGATTCCTAGGATACAATCGGTTGTCGATTCACGCTGCACTACGTTAACTACCTACGAATTAGCTGTGTCTATCTCTCAAAGAAATCAGAAAAGGAACCGGAAAGAATAAGATTGTATCTCGCTTGTGTTTCTTCCAACCAAGAGATCTTCTATTTATACCCATAGAGGAGGAGCATGGTCATTAATACAATTAACATTGAAAGTCATTAATATAATTAACATTGAAGATGAATTTCTGAAACTGAAGAAGAGAAAATGCTAAAACTGATTTCATAATTTCTGAAACTGAAGTGGCTGATTTTCATTCAATACAATTATTTTCCAACAAATTGAGCTTCTGTTTGTATAACTAAAACATTAAATTAAAATTTAAGTCGAAATCAACGATTAATTTTAACTATATATTTTATGGGATTTACAATTTTATCAATCATATAATCCATCATTTTTTATCTAAATCTACTTAAAGATAAAATTTACAACTAATATAAATATGAATGAATTATTCTTGATTTCAAAAAAGATAATATAAAAAATTGAAACGACGGTGTGCATTTGAATTCAGAATAAACACAATATTTAGAAGAGAATTCAAAACTTTTATATTCCACAGTCCCATTTTATCATAAATTCATTTTTTCAAAATAATATTACACGTAAATCGATTTTTTTTTTTTAACCATAAATTCTTCAAAACTCACTATTCAAAAATGTATTTTTCCTTTTAAAATGGGGCTCGAACAAGGGCGTAATGTTCATGGGTGAAAATTACTAGGGTAAAAATAATGACAAAGTATTTACGCAATATTTTATCTTAACTAATTTTTTTTATTATCTCTAACAGTTAACAAATCCAAATATGTTAATTGTGATGTCATGATTTTTTAAATATCTAAGGTAGAAATAATTAATAATCCTGCATTTTTTTTATTTTATTTTTACAATGCTTACTTTAACCTAATTCCACCGCACCTACTTCCAATTTCAATTCTTAACGTATTTATTTTAATTTCTAGCCACGTAGAACACCTAACAAGTTTATTTGGTTCACAAGAAACCACGTTTTCTCTCTGCAGTCAATAAGTCGCACTTCAGAACACATTAATTCTTTGCCATCAAGGAATTTCAAACCAACCTCCTTTACTACGAGTCTATATCAAAACGTGGCACTATAAATACACAAATTACGTGGCAGATTATTATGTCCATTGAAATAATTTTCTTAGCCATGAATTTGAATTTTTCGATTTTTTATACACCCATTAATTTGAATTCTATCGTGTGTTATTGTTCGATTTTAGTAAGGGTGTGTTTGATTGTCAATATTTTCATCTGCCTACCAATGAAAAATGAACAATATATAATATTTTCTAAATTGAAAATTAAATCAATCAAAAATATATGATCCCTGAATTATAAATAACTTCGTGATATCGTGAAAGAAACAATTTTATTATAACATAAAAATTGATAATCATATTAAAAATCCTAAAAAAAAAAAACCTAATACTAAATAAATCCAAAATTATTCTTAACTAGCTAAAACAAGAATTAAGGTTTTCAAGAACCTAATAGAAATACTAGAATGGAAAAAATCAACAGAAAAAATAATCGAGTGCTAAACTAAAGCCTATGTCAAGACATTAAATAACGAGACAGAAAGAGTTACAATAAAAAGGATTGATAATGTTGTAGCACACATGCTATAACTTTCAGAGCTCGTTGCAACCAAAGATGGAGCTGGTCCTCCAACGGGGACGGAGTGAGCTATCGGCGCTGGAGTCGTTTTTGTGGCTGATGTCGGTGCAATGGTGGGAGGATTCGGAGATGTTGGAGTTGGAGGATTAGCTGCAAGAGGCAAAATAGTAGTTAAGATCCGCCATTAGTCAATTAACTCTTTTACATTGTAACCCTCAAAATAAACATAAAGACGTACCGGGAGACGTACTAGGAGATGTGGACACTGCAGGAAAGGAAAAAAAACAAAAAACACTTTCAATAAAATAAACAAACTTGCTTACCAAACACGTCATAATAAATAATTAATAAAGATTGATGATGAATATATATAGGTTTAGAGAGAGACGCACTGTTGCAACTAAGTGTAGCATGGACGCCACAAGCAGAAGGCAAAGCCATGACACTACTCATATTAACCTCAATACCCAAACTGGCACTACTCTTCAGGGCTACACATATACAATTTGAATCAGTGTTGAAAACTGTCTCGAATCCAGTACAACAAGATTTGTCTGGCTTATCTTCGCCACCATCGACGCTCAAATACGCTAAGCAATCCGCCATATCATAAATAAGACTCATGCAATCCACGGTAGGTGCGCCTACTGGCCCGGGAGCCTCTGTCGGTGATTGTACAGGTGCACTAGTATGAATATGACCGTGACCTGAGACCACCATTGCCCATGTAGCCAAAATACAAGAGACTACCCAAAAATACTTCACCATTTCTTTCAGATTTTGTGATCAGAGAAGTTCACTAGCCAAACTCATATATTGAATTGATTTCTAGTTTTTTTTTTTTTAAATATAAATCGTTAAAATCCCTAAAATATCTCAAGATTGGTTAAATGTGATGTGGATGTGATAAACTGTATTTCAATCTTCCGAGTCATTGAAAAATGAAAGAATTCTATTGCTATTGCACTTCCAACTATAATTTTTAAAATGTGACACATTAAAAAATTAGTGATAATTCTTTATTTAATTGGACTTTGAAGAGGAAAAAACCAAATCACAAGCTTCGGATAAGAAAATGATCATTTCTCCTAAATCATCGGACTCGGAGTCGGATTACAATCCGACGAGAAAATTAAACCAAACAGAACAAGAATCGATATAATTTTAATGCATTCTATATTGAATATTCATTATATCTAATTTGATTTAATTCTCATCTAGACGAACCAAGACATGCTATAAGGGATGTACGAGCATAGGCTTTAGACAATTGGGTTTTGAGAAAGTTGAAAACAGCCCAGCTATGAGGAAAAAAATGGGCTTTAACTTTAGAAAATTATAGAAGCAAGTGATGATTCCAAATTGGGCCAGCTAGGCCACGAATTTATCATTTGTTTGGTATGCATCTTCTATGTGTAGACTATTGCATTTGTTTTTATTTATAGATTTTTCTATATAGCTAGAAATTAATCATATTGCATTAATTGTTTATATATCTACTAAAAGTTCTATGAAACTCGAGTAATTAATTTAATATTAACAACGTTGGAAACAACCAAATAGATATTCAATTTGATGTGATGCTCTATGATAAATAATCATGTCATTAATAAAAATTACTCAATTTACGGACTCTTTGCAGCATAAATTTATTCTCGTACCAAAATTTTATGCATAAATCCTATACTACTCCTTCAAGTTTCTACATATAATTTTGATTTTCTCTCGTGTTAGTTTTACATATGGATATTTTCGGCATCGTTGTAAATTAACTACCAAAAATTCAAATGAAAAATAAAGGCTTTGTTATATTTCTTAAGTGATATATTTGATGGGGATTTTACAATTATCTAATCGGATTATTAAAAAAAGGAATTTCAGATTATCGAAAATTCTATCGAGAGTATAAAGCTTGACCTCTAATAAGTTAACTTAATATCATTTTATTACATATTAAAAGACCCAAAGTAAAGGCGGACACGTGTCACCATTTCCAATCGTCGTCAAAAATTTCCTTTTTTTTTTTAAATTCCCTGAAATTCGTCAAAATTTCCCGTATCGCCGTTCCTGCTTCTCCATCATCTCACGCAACCACCCACTCCTCCTCCATTTTCCTACACAACCTCCCATTGCAAACTTCTCCTTCCTTTCCATGTGCAAATCACGATCTGTTACAAAAAGCTCGAAGGAATGGGGTTTTCAAGGGTGATATTTTCCTTCACCTTTTTATAATAATACGTGAGCAATCTGATATTTTGCAAATATTTATAATTCTGTTCGTTCATACCATGATACAGATACATTCCTTCGGATTGTGATGTTGTGGCTACTATATATGAAGACTAGAAATACGCAAAAACACCAGAGGATGCAGTTGCCAGTTCTCTCAAAGCAAGTTTCATATGCTTTCCTTGGATATTAGTTGTAATACTCTGACGTACATGTTATTTATGCCAAATTTATGATTAAACTTTATGCCAGGAACTGATATTAATTGTGGAACGTATATGCTAAGGCACACTAAAGCTGCAATCGAGCAGAGGAAGGTTTTCAAAGGAAGACATAGATAGAACATTGCTCAATCTGTTTTCTGTTCAACTCCGACTTGGTCTTTTTGATGGAGCTCCTACAAGAAATCGATATCGGAATTTTGGACCTCGAGACTTTCTTCAGAGCACAAGAATTTAGCTCTTGAAGCGGCAAGGCAGGGTATTGTGCTTCTAAAGAATGACAAGAAATTTCTGCCATTACATAAACACGGTATCTCTTCACTAGCCATTGTGTCTCCATGCAGTATCGGACGTTTTTTTTTCTAGAGCCAATAAAATTTCTTATAGGTCATGTTTCAACTATAACTAAAAAATGTTCAAGTGCGCTCATAATATAATCTCAGCCTCTTCCAACTACAAATCTTCAAACTTGTGCCAGTCAAGAGGGTTTGGAACTTTAGATGCTAAGTTTGAATTTTAGAAACCTATAGGAATAGATGGTGTTAAGGTAAAAAATAGTCAGAGGTCTTTGTGTCAACTATGTGAACTCGTCGGGGGCGTTCTCCTCTCGACCCCTGCGACCTGATCGGGCAGGTCGATCCCCGTCGGGGGCACCCACGAGGAGCGCTGTCCCCTCGTCCCCCGCGACGTGATTGGCCAGGCGTTGCCCCCGAGCCCCACGAAGGGCATTGCCCTCGACCCCACGACCTGGCACATCGATGTCTTTTCGAAGCAGCAAACCATTTGAATAACAACAATAAACAAATAAATAAATTATGAAAAAATATATTATCTCCAAACTTCCAAACTAATAGGAATCTCAGTATTTTCAATCTCTAACTTCTTGACAATTAGATATGTTGTTTTTAGGAGTTGGTCCTCTNCTCTTCATTTAAGCTCCTAAAACATTTACAACCTAATATAAGAGAAAATCAGTAAATCATAGAGTATATTTAGTTAACAATACATTTGTGACACAATTAATACCAAATATTCATATGAAGAATCGAAAAGATACAAAAAATATAGACGACGAGTGAATTGAAAATGAGTTTTGAAAGAATGTGTACCAAATAGGGGCTAAGTTGAAGTAAAAATGTTTCTTTTCTGTATTTTTATCATGGTTGATTATTTCACTTGTTTTCGGGTAAGGGCTTGCTATTTGAATAATGTTATAAATTTATGTTTTACTATTTTTTATTGTGCTATCTTTGGGGTTTATTTAACAAAAATGTATTGAAAAGGTCTGCTTTTTGAAGGCTTAGTGTTAATTAAATTAGTCGGATCTTGTGTAGGATTGTTTTATTTTTTAATTATATGCTTTCTGGAGTCTTTAAGTTATATTTTATATTGAGATTTCGATTGGATCTTTGATCCTGTGTGTACATGTGACTTCGTAGCTGGATAGAGGACTGGATGAGAAGAACGAATGGGATTCTTGTAGCAGTGAAGGAAGAAAGAATGACTTTCTAATGATAGGTTGTTGCGTCGTGGTTTTCATTTTGTTGATTGTCTCTGGGTTGTGTTTATTATTTGATAAAAATGGCTCGTTGATTAAGAAAAATCTTGAATGATTAAAATGTTGTTGTTGCAGTTAGACAATTATTTGACATTATCATGTCCGTGTTTGGTACATCTGGAAAAGTTAACGGAGTGCTTGCAGCAGATGAGAGTGGAACTTGTGTTATTGTCTCCTATCATGAGGAAAGTAGCGCACGTGCAGCACTAAAGAAATTAGATGGACGCTCGAGTTCTGATCTTGGAGGTCGTTCATTGCACATTCGCTACTCTGCACAATCACTGGGCAAGGTGTGACTTTGTACTACTTATGATTTTACATATTTTATATGTATATGTCACTGTAAATTTGGATAGGTTTGATATGGTTCTTTAATGAGCTCAACCATCTGCAGTGTCTACAAGAATTTAGGAGGCACTTGGTATAACTATGAACACATGGATCACTTACCTATTGTCTTACTGAATACCTATACAGTATAAGTTTCATTTACTGTGAGATCGGTGGATCAATTAAGCTTTATTAGATCAATATATGATTTACATTAGAACATCCATTTGTAATGTGATGAGTTCACTTTCTGCCTCAACTAATCATCCTTTTGAATTAAATATGTGATTAAACATTCTGTTAAGTTCAACGTAAGTTATGATTCTTATGACTCCATTTTCACTCCTTGGACTTGGAGTAATTTAGAATTAAATGATTCAAACCATTTATGGGTCAGCATAGTTAATAGTTGAACTCAAAGTTTGTATATTTTGTTGCTATACTTTTATGGATTTTAAAGATTTCATTTTCCTTTTAGTAGTTGTTCCCATTGTTTGTACATTTTATTGATGGACTGTATTTCTTTTTAGCTTAAGGTTAATAACACTATTGCAGCAGTGGATAGTCAACCATTGCAACATCTTGCCAAAGTAAGAGTTTAACATTAAGGGTACGAGTTCCTTAATGAAGTAAGTTCTAATTCATTATCGGAAATACTTAATATTGAATTAGCCTTCCACATTATTTGATTTGATATTTTGTTTTGTTTTCCTCTTCCCATCTCCTTTACCTCTTATAGATAGGAACATTAACACAATGTAATACTTAGGCGATCTTCAATCCTTCGTGTCTCCAGTCCTTGGTAGGATCAAAATTATTTGGATTGATGTTTATAGTTTTGTTTATGTTGATAACTACGAATTATTGATTACAATTGTTTTAAAAATTATCTAATATTTGATATTTTAATATTATCTTGGATCTCATTTAAATCTTCATTAAATCTATAACTCCCAAAAAGTGATATCTAGACAAACTTTACAAAAGTTTTCACTTTTCATATATCCAACTCTTATAAATTCTTAAATTGTTTGCTTTTGGTTGATTCACTAAGTTGACAATACATATCATAATTCTTCTTCATACCTAATTCATTTAACACTATAATTAAAAATGAAAACACTCTATTCTGAATTTGAGTGGTGGGTTAATCTTATGATATCTTTTGTCCTTGTTGCATTTGTTGGAATCACATCTGGTCTTAGTCTAGGACTCTTGTCACACAACAAAGTTTATCTTGAAGTTCCCAAAATTTGGCGTGGCTCAAGATCAAGAGAATGCTGGTTAATGGATAATTATGTTTATTCTTGCATTAAGGCTTCTACGATTGTATAGAACTCCAATAAATAAATAGCTGTAACAAGAAGTTAAATACAGTTAATACCAAATGTTCGTATCAAGAATTAAAAATATAAAAAGTAAAATAGACGAAAAGTAAATCAATTACAGCCAACTTATGAGTATCTTTTACGTATATAAATGAATTATTCTCATATTTACACACTTATTTGTAATAAATATTATCTAACTAACGTGTAACGCACGTTCAATTCACTAGTGATGGAGAAAAGTTTAATGAACTTGGAGAAAAGTTTAATGAACTCAAGACCAACTTTAATAATCAAACTCTTTCAAATCATAATTTACATATGATCGTACCTTGAAGAATTGTGTTTCTTCAATAAATTCTTAAGCCAACTAACGTTTTTTAAGTCACTTCGAGAATCATATATTTAAATAAAAAAATATTATTTAATTCCAATGTAGAAAAATATAGCATATACTCCAACCAATTACATCTAAGCAAGAAAGTGAAAGACGACAACAATAAATGAAAAGAAAAAGAAAAAACAGGAAAGAGAAAAAAAAAAAAGGTGGGAAAGGGGCCAAAATTGGCCAAGAGTAGTGGGCCATTTGTTAGGTAATGCATCTTCCATGTGTAGACTATTGCATTTGTTAGTATTATAGATTTTGATATGTAGCTAGAAATTAATCGTATTGCATTAATTGTTTATATATCTATTGAAAGTTCTATGAAACTCGAATAATTAATTTAATATTAACAACGTTGGAAAAAACAAATAGATATTCAATTTGATGTAACCCTCTATGATAAATAATTATGTCGTTAATAAAAATTACTCAATTTACGGGCTCTTTGAAGCATAAATTTATTCTCGTACCAAAATTTTATTCATAAATCCTATACTACTCCTTCAAGTTTCTACCTACAATTTTGATTTTCTCTCGTGTTAGTTTTACATATGGATATTTTCAGCATCATTGTAAATTAACTACCAAAAATTCAAATGAAAAATAAAGGCTTTGATATATTTCTTGAGTGACATATTTGATGGGGATTTTACAATTATCTAATCAAATTATTAAAAAAAGGAATTTCAGATTATCGAAAATTCTATCGAGAGCATAAAGCAAAGCTTGACATCTAATATGTTAACTTAATATGATGGAGAAGAGTTTAATGAACTCAAGACCAACTTTAATAATCAAACTCTTTCAAATCATAATTTACATATGATCGCACCTTGAAGAATTGTGTTTCTTCAATAAAATTCTTAAGCCAACTAACGTTTTTTAAGTCACTTTGAGAATCATATATTTAAATAAAAAAATATTATTTAATTCCAATGTAGAAAAGTATAGCATATACTCCAACCAATTACATCTAAGCAAGAAAGTGAAAGACAACAACAATAAATGAAAAGAAAAAGAACCAAAATTGGCCAAGAGTAGTGGGCCATTTATGCCCACACACCCAATATATTTAATGCAGTGGTGTTGACGTTGACGACAAATGCTTGTTTTGGTGTAAAGTTGGAAAATAGTTATAATTTTCGACCCTACTCTTTTGCTCATGTCTTTTTCTATTTGTTGTTTGCCAAAGCAATTAATGAAAAAAAAATGGATTGAAAACTACAAAAATATGTTTTTTTTTTTCTTTTTTTGATGAAAAAAACGACACCCCGTATAATCATCATTTTTTTTAAATATATTTCATTATTTTGGTTTAAAATACATATGATAACACCGATAGTGCACTTTTCAATGATATAAGTCATATGCTTAGTTGTTGACAACCTTATTTTACTACATGAGGAGAGGAATACACTTGATACGCGACATTAAAAAAAATGATATTTTTTATTGAAAATATAGGAGCTATTAAACAAATTGTATATATCTCAATTCAATCAAAATTAATGAACTTCCCAAATATATTTTAAATTTTTTAAAAGGTTTGTATTTTTTATTTATTTAATTATTTATTTTTTGGGGTGAGTAGTAGAACCAGTGGAAAGCTATGACCATTTATGGGCTAGCCTGTCTCGAACCAGGAACACGAGTGTCCCATTTTGGATCCCACCATACTTTGCATCAATGAGCCTTATAGCTAGCTACCATAGACCTTTTGTCCATGACATGACATTCATCACGGTGTGATTACGAGTGTTTGTCGGGTTAGAAAATCATTTCATGTAAAACATATTGAACTGTATAATAAATAATATTTTAATTTTTTAATTTTTGTCCGATTGAAAATCAATATTGACTTAACCGACTTATCCGGATAACAAGGGAATGCAATCGGCCCGCTTGGCCATCCGGCCCGTCCGAAAAGGGGCTGTAAATATATTTATTCATGGTTTTAATTCAATAGCGTACCTTCATATTTCATTACATACCCCATGAGACTATTGAGAAATAATTTTAATTAAAACTAGCTATTATTGTTGACTTTTATTAGAAGGGTGAGATTAAATAACAACTATATTTTCAATTTTAATTGGATTTTAATATTTACCAAACGAGCTCTTAATTTCCTTTAAATAATTCCAAAAAATTTCAGAGACACAATAAAGAACAAAAACTCATATTATGGGCATGTTCGGTAGAGATTAAAATTGAAAAACTAGTTGTTATTGTTGACTTTTATTAGACGAGTGAGACCCAATAACGACTATATTTTCAATTTTAATTGGATTTTAATATTTACCAAACGAGCTCTTAATTTCCTTTAAATAATTCCAAAAAATTTCAGAGACACAATTACTCGTGCACTATGATCATATTGCGACTCATAACCCAAGCATGGAAGTAGGTACACAACAAAAAATTTAACGAGATATATTCACTAACGACCGCTAAAATTTTTGATCGAAGGCCTGTGTGTTCTATGTGTAAAAATTTAAACACCATGACTACGATTTTCTTTTAGCCCATATTTGATTTAGAGAAAATTTATTTTTTCAGTAAATTTTGATTAAAGTTGTTGTAGTAAAAATGAAAAATCCTGGGTCTCTTGAAACGTATGGTTAAAATAATTGTTGACATTGACTTAAATTTTAATTAATTTTTTCAGCCGAATCAAACAGGGACTTGTTCTAGAAACTTGTTTGAGGATTAGTGCCTTCGTGTTTCCAATAAGAAAAAAAAAAGTAGAAGAAAAATTCCGCCACTAACTAGGATTAAACCAATGTTAATTATGATTAGAGTCATCAAGGTGATAATAAGAAAGACATAATCTACTATTTGGAAACACTGATTGGTTGGCACTCATTTTTTTTGGGAAATTAAGAATCTTTCGAGTCAATGACACGACGCACAAAATATTTTTAGTAAAAAGCCAGCAATAATTAATTAGTGGATTATTGAGGTAATCAAGATATGAAGGAGACACATGTCCACTTGCCCAAGTGGCTTTATAAATTAATGTATTTTCATATGCGTAATTGTCATTGTTTACAGTATTAAGTTAATAAAAAAATAAGCAACTTCTAGAAAAAAAGTTTTAGAGTCATGTGAACTTAAATCAAGTACAGTATTTTCTTATTATTAATTATTTATTGCTGTCCCATTTGTTTCCTGATACACAGCAGGGATAAAGGTGCAATTTGATGACATGTTGAACTTTCCAAAGTTATAATTAATCTAATCTTTCATTTAATCATTAATTTATGAAAACTTTGTTTAATTTTATAATTATTAATAAAAAAAATAAAGATTTTTCCTTTCTTTTAGTATTTTTATATTTTCCAATGACTAAAACTGACGTAACAATTTCAAATCAACTTCAGCTGAATTTAGTAATATCTGTTGGAATTTTGTAAAAGAATTGAGTAATTCTTCTTTCAAGATGTCATTGAAAGTGTATTACATGAAGTGGGTGAGCTTGACATTTAAAAGGGATCATTCTCCCTATTTATAGCCATTATGACTAATGTTTGCCGCCCTTAATCACGTCATGCTACAGTATCCGACCTTGATTAGTATGTCATCTCTTTGTTTGAAGGTTTTGATTGGATGTCGAGATCGATTGTTCAGGTCATCATTTCTCCTATGACATAGTCTGCGACCTAAATCATGATCATTTGTCACGGATTAATTATTACACCCATTTTATTAGTCGATGATGTAGTGTCAATAATAGAGCCACCCGTCCTCTATGAAATGGTTAATGGGGAGAAGCATCATCATCAAGCAAGATCATTTTAGATGGATAATAATTATGTTTCTTGAAGATGACGGCCTTATTACCAACTTGACTGTCTGTGTTTTCATGTCGACCTTCACTTATGGTTTTGGAAATCTCGTTTCCTACTTTCTTAATAAGCGAGTCTGAGGTCAAGTGTTAGATCGAGTCACCAACAATATCTGTTTTTGAAATTTTTTTTTGTAATTAACTTAGATCCGTACTGAGTCATGATCCTAGCTCTGCCACTAGTTGTGCCAATGCGGTGCAAAGGGCAGCACACGTGCACGTGCATGTGTATAATTATACACAATTGCCATAACAAGAATATATTTATAGATACAATCATATATTTGTTTTGTATTTACAAGGTAAGAGAGAATCAAACGAGGAATAAAGTAAAAACTTGGAGAAAGCATCCACCATACATTATAATTCCATCTTACACAAGTCTCTCGTACAATTGGCCAATTTGTGGACCTTTAATTTGACATCTCAAGATATCACTCGTATCTTCCCCACTTCATTTAATAATTCCATATATCGAAGTAGTTAAAGAACTTTTAATTAATTTAATTTATTGAGTCTGACATTGTTTGAAATTTCGTACTTTTTATGTGAGGTAAACACAGTGTAATACTGATGGATCACAAATTGAGAGATGCTACAGTAACATCAAGTTTCACAACAAGTTTCACAGCCCTCACACATGCAAAGGGTGGGGCCTGCGATTAAAATAATCGCGGGCCCCACCCTTGTGAGAGGGTTGTGAAAAATGGTGTGAAACAAATGCTGTACAATCAGCATTTCTCATCATAAATTAGTGAGGTGAATCAGATCATTTTGATGGTCGTGTCACCAATGAGTTTGATTGTGAATAAAATTTGACACGATAAGTAGAGAGGTCATGTTCATGCAATAATTTTGTTAGGGCATGTTTCTGCTTTTGCTTTTATTTTTTATAAAAGAACTTCTCAAACAAGTTACCGTAATTAATGTCTGAAAACTAATTTCTAAAAGAACTCTTTTGGGAAATTTTTTTTTTTTTTTAGAAGAAATCTTTCTTTCGAAAGAGTTTTTATAAGAAGTCATATTGGCTAGATTCTTCTAAAAACTCTTCTGACTTTAAGAAGCATGTTTATGAAATTAGTCAAACAAGTTCAAAGGTAACTTTTTAATCTCAAAATTTCCTTTTAACTTCTCAAACGAACCCGTAATGTGACTTCCCACGCTTCTAGAACTAAGGAGGAAAGCACAATGCTCCTTAATCTATGGAATTATTTAGAGATTAATACTAGTGTTCCGTCGTTTAGTTCTAGTTCGTCAATATCTAGAGTAATAGATGTCAGTGGTACAAATCTTGAAATTCCTTCGGAGTTAGCTAGGTATATGTGTGTGGACGTTCGTAGCATGTTACAACCACAAGAATTACAGGATTTTAGTCTTTTATCATGATGGAGATGTAACGAAAGGCAGTATCCAATAGTATCAAAAATTGCTCGCGATCTACTAACACCGCCGGTGTCTACAGTAGTATCGGAGGCTGCATTTAGTTTAGGTGGTCGAGTTTTGAGTGACGAACGATCAAGACTAAAAGAAGAGATATTGGAGGCTTTAATAGGTTTGAAGGACTGAGAATGTGCGGAATTATGTTTTCAAGAACAAGTTGACAGTATAATGACCGATGAGTTGCAGCAGATTCAAGTATAAGATATTGTAAATTTTTAAATTGTTTAGTTTCAAAAAATACTTAATTTTTAATTTTTTTTTGTTAATATATGGAAAATTGTGCACGAAATATTTTATTCGTGTACAATTTTAACTCCACCTACGATGAGTGTAACCGGTCTCAAACTCGGATAAAGGATGAGCGTTTTAACTTTTATTTAATTTAAGTACGTATAAGTTGTACAAATTTTAAATTCTTTAAGAAAAAAATTTAGATTTGACACGAAAAAAAAAACCCCGGGTCGGCTCGGCTCGGCTCGCTAAGGCTCAAGCCAAAAGCTCTGGCCGAGCCTCGATTTTTTGGCCGAACTTTTGCTTGGCTCGGGCCAAAAAAAGCTCTGCCCCTTTTTGGCTCGAGCTTCGAGTTTCGGCTCGAGCATGACTAGCTTGTTTACGTTAGGTGAGTGATTAAGATGTTGAGTAGCACCCAATTCAGAATCTTGTTATGAAAAGATTTGAATGTTACACCATCATCTCGGAGACCCTTTTCTTGCTTTGCGTACACTATGTCAAAGGCGATACAATAAATAAACTTACTACACTACTGAATTAAGATCATAAGCCATGGAATTACAACTAAATCAAAAATAAGCTAGAAGAAGTGAAAATGGTACAAGCGAAGGTTGGAATCGAAAATGAATGGTGGTGCATTGGGTGGCCCAGTGACGCAAAAGTGGGCGGAGCCAACTTTTTCTGAACGAATTGATTGCAGTGGGACCGTTGCAAGTTGCAACCAAACTCGCTCTCAGCTCCAGTATCTCTCTCTGATAGCCACAGCTTCCACTATCTTCTACTCCAAAACAATAAAGAATAGAGGAATAACACGAAGATTAAAATTAAATTTTGATAAAATATATGATTAAAAAGTTATGAATTTTGTAAAATATGTTATTAAAATTAATTGTTGACTTTAAAATTAAAATCTTGATTTTAATTTTCACCAAACAAGAGCTTAGCCATTGTTTGATCCCATTATTTTTAAAATACATTTTTATCTCTTATTTTTATCAACACATTCTCCATCAATTGATTATTTCAAAGTGCATTCTTAACCAAAAATGAGGCTCAAACAGGCCCTATACAAATAAATAAAATAGTTTCAAAAAAATAAAAAATAATTTGGAAGGACAAAAAAAAAATATATGTAAATTGAAAATTATGTATGGCTTCTAGAAAATTCACGTGTATTGGTACTCCATTAATAGTAACTTATAATCTTCAGTCAAACTTTAATTTCAATCACACACATTCACGGTTACTTCACGTACGAATCTTGAGAGTGGCAGGCCTGGGCGCTTGCACTCAATGTGTCGGGTGTCGATCTTAAACAAATATAATTTTAGTGATTCAACAAGGGAAAAAATTTTAAATTTTTCATAGAACCCTAAGAATGAATCATAATATGACCTTTTTGAGAGCAATAATTTCTAGCAAAAAAAATAAAATAAAATAATTTTAGCTACTCTTTTATCTTTGGATCTCAAGCTTGCAAATATCCTATGTAAGTGGTTGGTATCAATCATAAAGGAATATTTTTTCCTTCAACTACAATATTTTGCATTTTTCTTTTTTAGTTCATTTTCTGACTAATTATATAAATACTAGAAACAAAACCCTTTGTTGGGTGGGTATCATTTGCCCTGTGCATCACCAATGGTATCAGGATTCAGAAGGTGGCCATGGAAAATCCTTTAGATTTCATAGTCTTGCCAAGAAAATCAAAGACAAAAAAAAATAGTTATTCTTTGTTGGAAAAAGCTCAAACTACCGATTTGTGTCACAACTTTGTACTTAAGTCGATAGGTTAACTTGAGATTCTACGTAGGTAAACAAGCTACTCTTTCTCGATTTTCCGATACGTGAGATCAGTCGCATGCCAAGTGTAGATAAAGAACAGAGAACAAATCATAAATTTCCCGTTACCTAATTGTGGAAATATAAGCAATGAACAACGATGTTTTCCACGATTATCCCAGCAGATAACAGATGAAAAGGGAAAAAAAAAAATCCAGCCCCAAATATACATAATACATGCATACATAATTTCAATTCTAAGTGGGTGCACAACACATATATCGATCGATATAAATAATATATATCTTACAGATATATGTACTGTCTATCACTAATCTAGACGGCGGTTACCGTCTTGCCACCGGTGGCGCTGGATTTTGCTCCGGTGGCGACGGTTGCAGCTCCCTTCTTCGTTACCAATGAAGACTTCTCTTTTCTCTCGTCTTGAGTCATCTGTTGTTGTCTACACTCTGAACTGCAAAAAGCACTATCGCCTCTGGACAAAATAAATAAGAGAAATAATTAGGTCACGGTAATTAATTATCATATAAATCTTATATTTTGTAAAAGATGACAATATTGCTGGTGAAATTTGTATAAAATTAAGGATCTGAGTACAAAAGAGGCCGTGTATATAGTATACCTATACATGTAGATATCTCGACCAGGAACCAAACGGCGTTTACAGAGGGAACAGGCCCTCAAGAAATGAGAAGTTTCGACAGAATCTGGTGAATTGCGGCGGAGGGATCGGGAAGACGCGGCGGCGGCTGTGGCGGTAGCCAGGAACCTCTGATCTAAACCGCCAGTACTAACTGGGTTTTGAGGATCAAACGTCTGATGATTAGCAACAGTACCTTCGCCGGACTTGATGGCGACGTCGATGTCCAAGGTGAACTCCTTCATGCTTGTAGTCCTCTTCATCGGTGGACGCATCCTCTTTCCTAACAACATATCTAATCTATATCTGTAGTGTAGGTATAAATCTGTAGACTTGAGATATGTGATTAAGGATGCAGGAAGAGAGAAAACAGAGGTTTTAGAGAGAGGAAGAGAGGAGAGGGGGAGTGAGAGTGAAAGATTGTTCGGAAGATAAACGGAGAGCCAGAAACGGAGGAGTTAATCTGAGCCGTTGATTTTTTTATGATTTGATAAGTTGCATTATTGTTGGGATGCCATGTCATCATCTCCTTTATTAATTTGATGGGAATCAACTGTTAATTATTTTCCTAGTTTTATGGCTTAAGGGAATCTAACCCTAGTAATTTTATTAACTTATTTTATTCCAAAAAATATACCTAGGGCCTGTTTGGTGGAAATTCTCAAAATTGTACAGTAAATCAATTCTCATTTTCAACCACACATTATTCAATAAAATAATATTTTTCATCACATCAATAATTTTTTCTTCTTTTTCAATCACACGTTTATCATCATATCACTATTCAAAATCATTTCTTTCCCCAAAACTCCCTCCCAAACAAGCACCTAGATTCTCAACTTCACTTGATATTCAATTTAAATAAACAAAAATAAGTACTTCTAGTAATTTTTATTAACATACTTATTTTGTGTAGATTAAAAATTGGTGGAAATTTTAAGTTAAAATCAAAAATTAATTCGTTAATTTTTAAACTTTATTAAAATTTCGATTTTAATTTACACCGACTAGGGATCTAAGGGTAAAGGGGGTATTCCTTGTGTATGTTTCCTAATATTTTACGTTACGGTAATGCTTTTCAAAAATATTTTATCGTACGATCATGGAATAAATTTTAAGACAAAAACATAAATTTCATATCTTAAATCGACCGTCCGAAATAATTTTAACAGATGCAAATAAGGGTGATGCTACATGTACACCTCATGCATGATACAATCATTTACACCCCCTCACATGGAGGGGGTTCCACGATTATTTTATTATGTGTGGACCTCCCTCCATGTGAGAGGAGTGTAAAGGATTGTGTAAAAAATTATGTACACATAGCTTTATTATGTAAATAAACCGGGCAGACAATCACTAGATCTGTTCGTGCGGTGATTGAAGTGTTCATTACTTTTGTGGGGGGTCACTGTCTGCCCATTTTACGATGTAAAACTGTAGCTGATTCATAATCATACAATAATGGGCTGATATCATAAATTTACAAGTTGTAAAATAATGTGACATCATTTTTTATTATCAACTTTGTTATATTTGAGCTTAATAAAAGGGTTGCAATGCCGAAATTTGGTAATTGTATAAAGACGAGCTTTCAGTTTGAACCCCCTTCTTATTCATCTTTCACCCCTTTATATAGGTTGATCGACTCAAACTCGTCATCCTGATCATGCCAAGTTACAATATTTTTTTACCTACGATTGTGTGTCACAAGTCCATTTGAAAGAAATTTGATTAGTTGGTGAACTTGAGTACAGTGAGTCAAGGTGGCACTACCATCGAGATATTTCGTTATTTTGATTTGCAAGTTTGAGCGATGTTACTATTAAGAGGGAACACTTCATTTGTTATGTCGAGAAATAGTTTCATATGACGCTTCACATAGTCCTACTCCCATCTATCGATGGGATATTGGGTTAGGGTGTTAGGCTGATTTGTTCGATTTTTTCGATAGTTAACTCTTTTAACCAAGTCAAGGGAACACTAAAATTATTGGACATGAATTTTAGATGGGCAACAACATTAAATAATTGACACATTAATTAGTTTGTCAATTCAAGTTCACATGTCTATCATTTAAAATTACAAAACACTTAAATAGGCTATAAATTTAGTTAATCAATTAATATTTCAAATGCTAAAATATGGCAACTTTTGCAGACTTTTCAGACATTTAGCCCATGTTTGGTGGTCATTTTTATGGAAAAGTATTGTTTTGAATAGTGATTTTTTAGAGGATATGTGGTTATAAAGTAAGGAAAAATCTTGAATTTACATGCATAATATTTTATTGTGCGAATGTGTACTTGAAAATAAATATATATATATAACAGAGTTTTGAATGACTGAGAGACAAACGCAAACTTACTTATAGCATCTTTTATTTTAAAGTGACGTGCAATGTATATAATTGGTGAAAGATCAACCCACTTAAAATAATGGCCAATTATTTGACATGTTGTGCTGTGTACTTGATATCAAGTATTACATGTAAATGATATTAGTCCTCTTAGTAGGTTTTGAAAAGTCAAAAGTTAGTCATTGAAAAAGTACATTTGAACTTGTTGACCCCAAAAAATGAATTCAACAGATATTGGGTTCACTCTTGTTACGTCAAGTACAGATCCAGTACGTTTTTATCAGAATGAAAAGATAATCCAACTATAGTGATTAGAGGACAATCACACTATCAATTATCTCCGTTCAATCAAAATGATAATAAAATGTGTGGAATGATAAATACGATGAGTAGATGAGTTCTCTCCTTTTCAATAAGGGTTTAAGCGTTTGTTGGAATGTGTGTTTTTCTCTCCTTTGCATTCATCAATCGTCCCCCTTTTCTATGCAGAGAGTGGCTATTTATAATGTTCTAAACGATGTGATGATCGTCGGATCAAATTCACGTGACGACATCTCCTAAATCGAAGCTTTACATCACTGTCCCTTCATTACATTTAATGTTTGACTAAAGATCAGTCGTTCTACTAGTATGTTGACATTGGTTAAAACTACAGACACTTTACTGCAAACGTCACATCAATCAATCCAAAAAGATCTCCAAATCTGTGGTGAGACAGTGTTGACTTTATGAGTTTCGGACAAGCTTGAAATAACCTCAGATTGGGTTGTGCCTTGTCTTTGAAGAAGTGCTTCAGGTTGAGGCTCGATAGTGCGACAACTTCTGATGTTGAGTTAAGGACTTCGACCTATTTTCTCACTGAGACTTCTGACTTATTGGCCCTCCTCTTGACCCCCGGTTGGCCGTTTTGCCATGTGGGGCTTTGCCTCTTTTAGACCTCAAAATCGAGGGGTAAACGAACTTATTTAAATATATTTTTTGTTATGTATTTTATCTGACTAGAAGAGATTTTAGAGGAAATAAGTCCACAATGACCTTCTCAAAAAATAAAATTGTCAAACATACCCTAAGAACTCTTCAAACCCGTCCAATTAAATACTCTTTAAAATGAAAAACCCATTGGAGCACTCATTCGGACTCTTGATTAAAAAAAATTGAAAAGGCTGTCAACATTGATTCGTATTTGCTCGTATACTCGTTTTAAAACTAGAATAAAGATAATCTATCTTAAATTTGCTCGATTGGTGTTTTAAAATAAATAATTGAAATAAGTCGATGAAAATAACATGTCTCATTTTGTCACGATGAGCTCTATTTCTTAACAAATTTATTATGACAATTTGGTTTATGGTCCTACTAACTATTAAAATAAATTTTTTTTTTTAATTTCTTTCTTGAAATTTGGTAAGATCTTGTATAATTTTGCTAAAAATATATATTTTTAGTATATTTTGATAACAATTGATGAAATGTGTCGTTGAAAAATTAAAAAAATGTTGTGAAGTTCATAAAATATGTGATTAATATTAACTTTTGATTTAGATTTTTAACTAAACCAAGTGCATTTTTAAGTGAGCATACACAACTCAAGGCTTGTAAGCATTTCAAGAATTCCGCACATTTTTCTAAAGTAAAAGATTCTTTCCAACAAAAAAAGAAAAACTTTATGCGTTGGCAATGGAGCATCATGCTTTTTATGAAAAAATTCACTTCTGGAACAGTTCTGATCGTGACAAATTCACGCAAAGCCAAATCAACATGTGATTTAAATGCATAATTTTATGACGAAATTACACCCAAAGAGGTATATCACGATGAGCTCTATTTCTTAACATATTTATTATGACAATTTGGTTTATGGTCCTACTAACTATTAAAATAATTATTATTTTTAATTTCTTTCTTGAAGTTTGGTAAGAGCTTGTATGATTTTGCTAAAAAAATATATATTTTTAATATATTTTGATAAAAATTGATGAAATGTGTCGTCGAAAAATTAAAAAAACGTTGTGAAGTTCATAAAATATGTGATTAATATTAACTGTTGATTTAGATTTTTAACTAAACCAAGTGCATTTTTAAGTGAGCATACACAACTCAAGGCTTGTAAGCATTTCGAGAATTCCACACATTTTTCTAAAGTAAAAGATTCTTTCCAACAAAAAAAAGAAAAACTTTATGCGTTGGCAATGGAGCATCATGCTTTTTATGAAAAAATTCACTTCTGGAACAGTTCTGATTGTGACAAATTCACGCAAAGCCAAATCAACATGTGATTTAAATGCATAATTTTATTCACTTAGTTTTCATAGAATCAGGACCGGACCCGAGGAGAGGTCCAAGAGGCCTCTGCTCAGGCCCAGAAGTTTGGGGGCCCAAATAATTATTTTTGTTTCCTTTCATCTCCAACTTTCAAGTCGGCCGGCAATCATCGGCTCCACGGTAGAGACAACGAGAAATCAAAACCTAGAGTCTACCCAGACCAACGACACTACTCTGCAAGCCTGCAACTTCTCCAAAATCCGACTGGCGACGGCATCCTTCGGTCTATTTTCCTTGGTAAATCATTTATTCTTTTGTTATCAAATTGGGTTCTTTCTCTATTTGTTGCAATGTCTTGAAGATTTGAACTTTGAAGTGTATCCGGTTTTTGGTGAATGAAATTCTGAAATTCATACTGCTTAATTACCTGTACCTGTAAGCCTTAATCTTACTGAAATTCTGAATAAGCCTTGTTCTTCCTGAAATTCATAAGTCATATCGCTTAAAGAAAAATTGGTTTTTTGCCCACCAAATAAGATTTTGCTCAAAAGTGTGTTGATGGAAGTTACATCTCAAAAATTAATAACTAATCCAGCTCAGTTAACAAAGTTTAGGTTTTTCCCTTAATTTTTTTACTAGATACATAACATTAATTTCTTAATTTTCACGAACTTACATTAATTCTGCCATGTTGATTAACAGCAGGTCAGCAACTAAAACTCTAGAATTGATAAACTGTGAATTAGGGCTGATATTAAGTTGTGCACTTTTTTTATAAGCTGTGAATTGTGATTGGATCATCAATTTTTATTTTCTTTCTTAAACTAATTTGAGCCCCTTTTACACTCATGTTTTAGTAAGTGTTAGCTTTTGAGTGACTTGAGTCAAATACTATTCGTTTGGAGCTCAAAAAAGGAAGAAGAGAGAAAGAGAAGAGGCATTAATTTGAAACATTTTTTTTTCCATGAGGTTTTGAACCTTCAAAAAAATTTTCATTTATTTGGTACCTATCAAAAAAAAAAAAAAAATTTGAAACTAGGCCAGAGATATAGATAAGTACTTTAATGGAAATAAAAAAGAGAAGGAAGGGACACCAGAAAATTTAGTGATTGAGGAATAAACGGGGAAATGATTGAATATGCCTCGAAAACTGCAAGACGAGTTTTATATAAGTGATCGTTTAGAACATTTTCACATAGGTTTGGACTCGATCCATCTCAATGACTCAATTACCCTAATCTAAAAATTAAAACCCCAATAGAACCTTGGCACTCTGAAATCAAAATCGCGTGATTTTGTAGTACATTTCTTTCGAATTCTACATACTCAAGTCTTCTGCTTGCAAGATTTGCTCTCTACTTATATCCGTGTATATGTGTACATATGTTGTAATCTTCCATGGGTTTGAATTGTTTATATGTTTATGTATCGTTTAAATTTCCTAAACAGTGCCAGAATTCTGAATGTATTATGAAAAATCTCATAATCATGTTGATTTTTGCACCACGCCGTTGATAAATTGTGTTTTCCTTTCTTGACCCAGAATTTTGATCAGATTTTGGCAACTTGTTGAAGTATACAGCTCTTTTTAATCTTATTTTGTGTTTCTGATAATGATTTCACGAACTTATTATGTACATTTTGTGTATTTATGCATCAATAGTTGTATTTTATTCTTTTTAACCCTTGTTTGAGCTACATTATTTTTTTCATTCTCATTTTTCTACTCATTTCCAACCACACATTCTTTAATAAAANTTTCCATTCCCATTCTTCTACTCATTTTTAAATTTTAACCACATATTTTTCAATAAAATAATATTTTCCATCACATCCATAACTTTTCCTTCTTTTTCAACCACATATTTCCCATCACATCAAACAAAAAAAATGCATTCTTGGACTCAAAATGTGCACCAAACAGGGGCTTAGAGATGAAATTATGAAACTAAAGAAAATTGATATCTAAGATGGTTACGTTCACGTGTGATTGAAATTAAAATTGTACTCGTTGATATTTTTGTTTTGTATTTGTTGAGTGAATTCTCCAAAAGAAAGAAAAGAACAGAATTTTGAATTTAATCATGTTTCTGACTAACTGACATCCTACCGAAGAGTCTATTTATTTACGTTGTCTGTCGCCTTTTTCATGTTTGCAGGATCAAATTTAGCAACCCCTGCCTTGTACCTATCCCATTTGCCTTTGTTCATCTGTCTGACTAAATAATGGATGGTGGAAAATTGTTAAAGCTAGGTGTGCCACATTATGTAGTTGAGCCATTGTTAGCTGCATCTGACTCTTCTACTTTAGATAAGGCGCTAGTGCATCTCATCGAAATTTCTAGAACTCCTGATGGCCGGTCAGACCTCGCTTCCAAGAATATCTTGGTGCCAACCCTTAAGCTATGTCAATCCCTATGTTCCCCTTCTTCTCGTCACTTTCTTTTGTTGTCCCTAAAGCTGCTCAGAAACCTGTGTGCGGGAGAAATAAATAATCAGAACTTATTTATTGAACAAACTGGTGTTGGAATTGTTTCAAAATTCTTTAATACTGTAGTGCTAGCTTCTGGTTCTGACTACGAGATTATTCGTTTGAGTCTGCAACTTTTGGGAAATGTCTCGTTGGCTGGGGAAGAACATCAGCTTGCTGTTTGGCGCCATTTCTTTCCTCTTGAGTTTTTGGAAATTGCTAAATTTCGAAGCAAAGAAACATGTGATCCTTTGTGCATGGTTATCTATACATGTTGTGAAGGTAATGATAAGCGAATGATCGAACTGCTTACGGATCAAGGGCTACATATAGTGGTGGAAATTATACGAACCGCAACATTTGGTATGCATTGTTAATTTAACATGTGTTTATGCATTATTATGCAAATGCAAAAAACATCATTTGTTTGAGACAAACTTTTAATGCCTTTGATATGCTTTGGTCTTAGCAGCTGGATTTAAGGAAGATTGGCTGAAGTTGCTTCTCTCAAGAATTTGCCTGGACAATTCTTACTTCTCTCCAGTTTTCTCTAAATTATTCCTGGTTCGTTCAGTTGAGAACTTAGATGATGATATATCTACTGATAACCACTTCGGAGGAGAGCATGCATTTTTGTTGAGTATTCTTTCAGAAATCTTGAATGAGAGAATCATGGACGTGACAGTGTCCAATGATTTTGCTTTGTCTATTCTTGGAATATTTACAAATGTCGTTGGGGTTGTTGATTTTGTTGAAACACCAAACTCTGGTCTTCCTACAGGCGTAGCTGATGTTGATGTTCTAGGATACTCCCTAACCATTTTGAGAGATGTCTGTGCCTGTGGCGGTGCTGAAGGGTCCAATGAGCATGTCTTTGGGGATATTGTGGACGTGCTAGTATCATCTGGGCTTATTGAATTGCTTTTAAGCTTGCTTCACGACCTAGAGCCTCCATTAATAATTAGGAAAACAATGAGACAGAGTGAGAACCAAGAAGCAACAATGTCTAGCTCATCCAAGCATTGCCCTTATAAAGGTTTCAGGAGAGATGTTGTGGCCATTATTGGAAATTGTAGCTACCGCAGGAAGCATGTTCAGAGTAAAATAAGAGAGCAGGATGGGATCCTTCTGTTACTACAACAGTGTGTCACCGATGAAGATAATCCATTCTTGAGGGAGTGGGGAATTTGGTCGGTAAGAAATATATTGGAAGGGAATAGAGAAAACCAACAAGTTATTGCCAATTTGGAACTTCAAGGATCTGTAAATGTGCCTGAAATTGCTCAACTAGGTCTCCGAGTAGAAGTGGATCCTGAAACACGACGTGCAAAGCTTGTAAATATGTGATGACGGTACTGAGCTAAACATTATCTTGTAACTGATTTACAGATTGTTATCATTTCTCTCGGCTGTCTATTCGATATCCCTATTTAACCTCAATGTGATCGACGACCAAATTTCGGAGAGAAACAGCAACAGACTCGAGAGGTATGAACCTGAAAGATTGTTTGCATTGCCAGGGGTCAGATGGAGAAATTAAGTTTAATGCAAGTTCCATGAGATTGAAGATAATTTACTTGGTCATGTAAGT